GGGTGTTGGGGCATCAATTTCCCGTTTGTAATACAAAATGACTGAAAATTGCAAATTTCGCAGGGCTATATTATCCGCATTTTACAACATTTCGCAACAAAACTTTGGAATATTACTAATTTTATGATGCTCTTTCAAGCTGTGATGAAATTTTTGTCTAGATCAAAATTTAGTCTATAATGCAAATGGTCCATTCGTTTACTAATTTACATCACGACGCGATTCGATGGCATTCGTGCCGACGTAAGGTAAGGCTGTATTTATTTTTGAAGTAAAAAATAACCAAATGAAAATATCTTTTAAAAAATGTTTTTAAAAATTTCGCCCTGGAGGGCGGAGTGTTTCCACACAATTTCGAGTCTTCCCAATTTCCACGAGTGTTGATATAACTTCATGTATATCAATACGGAAAAATGTTTTATATTTTTATCTCAAACTCATTAATAATTGATGAGTAAATTAGCCAATCATATTGCTTTATTTTGCTCACATGACAATACTGGATACTTGGTAAACAGATGAAGTATATTGATTCAGTACCAGGACTGGATCCAAATGAATTCAGTTCTTGGACGCATGGATCCAAATTAATTCAGTCCTTGGACTGGATCAAAATCAATTCACCTCACTTTAATTAGTAGTTTGTTCGTATGAGATGTCATTTCAAATCCTCCAAATTGCGCTGACTTGAAATCTAGTCCAGTCCTCATATTCAGATTTGATATTACATACAATATAGCACAAAGAAATAGAAAGAAAGAAATTTTCCGTGTTGACATTGAGTTATGTCAACCCAGCTCTTAGCCAATCAGCGTTCAGAATTTACAAATGCTATATGTATAATGTATGCTATCAGTCATTGTGTTAATATGCAATTTGCAATAAGCAGCTGCTGATTTTAGCGAACAAATTGACTGCTTATATACGAGCCGTTAACTAGTGTAGATTATCAGTTGTTTCAATAAAGCATTATCATTGCCCACCAGCTATTGAACTGAACGCCTAGTCGACTAAGTGTCATTTTGCAATTGATTTGGACAAAATTAACATGTTTCTATTTAAAACAATACTAGCTCTTGTTCAGGTTTTCGCTTTCATTGGGTATGGTGTTACAATGAAAGATGCCATATTTAAAAGAGAAACTGGACAATATTTACCAGATAATGTGATCACAACGAAATATGCAGAAAGTGAATTAGAGTGTTCCATGCATTGTACAAGCATCGACGCGTGCTTGTCAGTGAATTACAAAGCTAGCGGAGTGGATCAAGGTTTATGTCAACTCAACAACAGTACAACTTCAGAAAATCTTGGACTGGTTTCCAATGATAAATTTGTGCATCTTTCCATTTTAAAGGGGGTAAGATATTTCTTTATGATATCACAAATGGGGGCCAGCTATAGTATGTCATATTCTCGAATACGTTAATCCTGCGCTATATAGGCCAAGCTAGAGAGGCTGGGCAAACCAGAAAAATTGTTTGCTACCCATGTTTCTCGATACGATTGCTTAGTTCTTCAAGGTTTGTAGTTTCAAAGACCGAAAAAATTCAAAGACTTAACTTCAAAATCTAGACTTTTTCTGCCTATTATCAAAGACTTTTTCATACACGAATTCGGCGGTAAGCTAATATTTTGGACAACTAAGACAATCAACTACGACGCACACTTTTTGTGGAAGATGGTTGTTGGGCAGAAGTGCTCCGATTATGTGGCCAAAGACTCCAAAGACTTTTGTGAGCAAACATCTGTTGAAACATTTCAATTGTAAGCTCCTTTTTGACCCGATAATCATTCCTAGAATACCGTCTTCTCTTCGAAATTTGTAAAAATCTTGCTGAAACCCATGCACGATCCATTTTACTAGCTAGAGAATCGTTTAAATCAAATACTTGCTAAATATAATTATTTTTGTTTGTGCACGTAAATTTATTATTGCAAAGCTTTCGATCCGTAAGCCCGGGTCTTCATCATGCAGTGCTATAATAATAATATGATATTATATTACTAGCACATATTATTAGCACTGATGAAGATCCGGGCTTTATACGGATCGAAAGCTTTGCAGTAATAAATTTACATGGTGTTTCCACAAACAAAAGGTATTATATGTTTTAACTCCATGCAGACCTACAAAGAACTTGCTAAATAATTTAAGTCTTTCAAAGACTTTCTGCATTTTTTTCATATAATTCAAAGATTTTCAAAAGATCTTAAAGATTCACAATCGAATTTAAAGCTTTCAAAGAATGCTACCCAATCCCGTTACTGTTTCCACAACATTTGATATTTTCACCTTTAAACACCGGTCAACGTTCACTATATTCTTTTTAGAGTAAAGCCAAGACGAAAGAAATTGGCAGCAAACACAGCTGCAAAGAATTACTCGATGATGACAGGTAATCCATATTGAAAATATACCACCATATCGAAACAGATCAATGCAAATAAACTAACTTTGTTTATACTGGAACAGTTCTTCACTGCTTTCCTTAGATATCCATGTTCATTTGTTGTTGGTTTATTGTTACTATAAGAGGGATGCTAAGCTAAATTCAACCTAAGATAAGAGGCATATAACCAAAACTAAATTCATACTTTTTTTTCTGTGTTGGTGTTGGTGTTGTGTACCGTCAGGTGAATACGATGTTTGTGATGTTATTCTGAGTGTATATCCACACCGGGCGAGCTTGAGCTAGTATTCCAAAGGTCGTAGGTTCGATTCCCACCGTGGTCGGGCATATTTTTCAAGCTCGCCCGGTGTGGATATACACTCAGAGTAACATCGCAAACATAAATTCATACTGTTAACTCATCAGTTCCACCTCATTCTCCAAAATATACCTGTATGCAAATATACCTGCATGCAATTATAAAAGCCATCCTTTAATCTTTATCGGTGCAGTCCTCCTACAGGAGGACACCTGCACGCGTTCACTTTCTTTGCGTTTGCCCAATTAGTGGACTAATAGACATTTTCCAATTGATTAAATTTTCAGATTGATTAAATTTTGGATAACTTTGGATGAAAGCTGGATGAGAAATTAGCAATAGGTTGCCTTTCTTTGCCAAGCAGAGTAAAACTGCATGATCCATGTATGCAGTCTCCGTGTCCACTCCAGTTAATTGTTAATGGGTTTAGGAATATTATTGTTTTAAAGCTTCCGTTGTAGATTTCTGAAAAGTCCTAACGGACTGAACATTATTTTACAGCTCTCTACAAAACGGCATCTACTATCTACAAGCGAATGCGTCCACAGAAAAATACCCAGTCTTTTGTCACATGACTGAGATTCCCGGATATGGGACAGGAGGCTGGACACTAGTGATGAAAACAAACGGTGATTTGGTAAGACAAAAAGAAATTTTTAGTTTGTCGTAGAGTTCGTAGAAAATATGTGACCGGCCTAGCTCCCACGTCTTCAAAGGATCAGTTGTGCCTTTACTCGCATATATAAAATGTTTTTAACATGGAAATGTCATTTGTAAATTAACACGTTCTTGAAGTGAAAAAGATATTTGATAACTCAGGTTTGAGATGCTGCTGTTCCGAGTGTCTCCGCATCGGAAAAAATTGCTTGACCAAGGTGTTGACCAAGATCTACTCGGCTATTTTTATTTAAATAATTAAAATCAGAATTAACTACTTGATAGTCGAACCTCATGTTTTCCCATTCCGTTTACGCTCTTGGTAAACTTAACTTGTTCTCTATTTCTTAATTAAACAGAGTACATTCACCTACGATTCCCCTTACTGGACGAACAAGGAAAGTTATGCAGTTGAAGACGGACTTGAAGGACTAACAGAGAAAGAAAGTAAACTGGCCTCTTATTGGAACATTCCTTTCAAGAACATATGTCTTGGTAGGACTGTTGATGGTGACAGAAAATGGATGATGTTAGATTACGAATCAAGTTCGCTATACAGTTTGATCGCAGACGGACAATGCCGAAGCACAACCGCAGGACGATCTGCATGGAAGTCTCTGATTGCGGGCTCGTCTTTACAACCAAACTGCAATGAAGAAGGTTTCAGCATTGCATATGATCAACATAAAGTACGTATTGGATATTACGCGAATAATCAAGACACATGCATAGAGGCAGATTCATGTATTGGATTTGGTATTACTTACACTGCTTGTTATATGATAACATCTCACATTACATGTGGTAATATTGCGCAGTGTAATGGTAATGATAATGGCAAAAAACTTACTGCGGCATTTGGATATATTTTAGTTCAGTAAGTGAGTGCAGTACATATTATATAAAGTAGATTTAGAAATATTACATATTAGCGTTAACGCGTAAAGCTACCTAAACATAGAACTTGCGTGCATTGTGTAGAGGCACACGCGCCAACCAAATTAGCTGACTGCAAGACAGCAATTTATCAAAGGAACTTAATCATGCATGCTTAGACATTACTGAATCTTTAAACTGTGATGTTGAAATATTAATAAACCAAAGACAGAAAATTTGTGCGTCATTATGTATTTTCAACATCTTGTGAAGGACTTTGAATTTTATCGTCACCGACCCACCCTTTTAACCGTGTTCAATTTCTAGTTGAAATTATGATTACATTGTAAAACGGTGTCTCACAAAATATTTGCTCATTCACTAACATACACGTGCCTCAATTACTTTTTAGTAAAGAATACATAAACTTGTACATGCATGCATATTTGGAATTCTGTTACCATGATAGATGTGAATACACCACCGTAATTTTGGTCAAGACTTTTCATCAAAACTGCATGCAAATCAATGGCACACCTAGCCATGACAGATGGTTTTAATTCTAATGATTTGCCCAAATCATTATTATTTACGTAATATAAACTAGTTATTTTGGACTACAGAAACCTTTAACAAGCTTTTACACTGGAAAAAAATAGTGAAATCCACACTATTTCCATACTATATCCCTATATCCATAGTATGGAAATTTCAATTTGTATGAAAATTGGATTTCCATACTATTTTCAACTAAGATCCATACTACTTCCATAGTAAGGTGGTCAGTGTTTCCAGTGTTAGGTGGTCATGTTACATGTGCTAATAAACGTCCACTTTGAGTGAGCAAACATTGGAAAAGGTTTTAGTAAATAGAATGAAATAATATAGCAAATAATTTAACATCATAACTTGAGGGCACTCGGAGACTACATACAGCGAATTAAGTTATGTATCATGCATAAATTATACAATCAAGTCAATATCTAGAAGAAATATTCATGTTCTGATCCAGCCTCGTACCCAGGCGCAAATAACGTACTAAAAATAGCAACACTACAGTGTTTTTACATAGATCAGCGGCTAAGACGAGCGAGCGCGCGGGGGTGCTTGGGGAGAACCCCGTCGTGTCCTCCCCAAGCACCCCCGCTCATCTTAGCCACTGATCTATATAAAAACACCGTAGTGTTGCTATTTTTAGTACGTTATTTGCGCCTGATACGAGGCTGGTTCTGATCCCAAAATATCAGTGGTGATTAATGGGCGTGGCTCTCTAGCAACTTGCACCCCCCCCTCATGAAATCGAACCATTTTAGAGATTTTAGCAGAGGGCGTTTATTGGATTATCAAAACTAAACGATGAGGTGCAAAACATACTTTGACTAGAAAACGTTATTATCTCGAGCAATCTTACACCATGCATTGCTTGTCATGTACAAGTGGTGTTATATATCCATGGAGGAAGTGTTATGACCTCAGAAGGTCTAGTAAACTCGGTTTATAAAGTCAATTTCCATGTCAATTGTTTTGGTGATTGGCATTCTTTAAATTAATTTTTGTATCTCTTTTTTTATATATTACTTTTTCTTTCTATGAATTTGGGCGCCCATATGTTTGCCGAAACCGAAATCACGCTAGAAACTGACCTGGAAGCGAGATCATGTAAACACTAAATAGAGTTTATATTACGAGCGCGGAATCTTGGCAATTGTTCCGCCTAGCCGGGATCACAGGCTAGGAGTCGCACAGCTACAAAACGGCGCATATATGAAATGATATCCATAGTACAGTACCTTTTTTGCAGAGCGTCTATCTTTTCATCTTTTTCTCGATTTGTTGTTTTTGTTGTAGCCAACAACTCAACTTCTCAAACCCTGAACAGAAGAGATAAATATATATTTTCTTATTTACAAGCATAGTTTATTGAGTTTCTCACTCGTTGGTGAGGGGATTTCCCAACAGGCATATATATTGCCCAATTGATGGGGGATCCGAGATACTTACAATTTTAAAGTCCTTATCTGAGAAGACGCAAAAGTCTAACCATTTCCTGATGCATGTCAATGTAAAGATAGCTCTTTCTCCTCAATTATTTTGAGATCTTAACTAGAGTTCCGACCAAGGATTGAACACGGGTCTCCCCGGTTGAAAGGCAAGCGCGGTGACCACAACACCACAAGTGCTGGTTTAAATGCAATCAGTTTATTCTTAATTGTTCTCATTGGAGGTATTTAGTGCAATGGCCACCATAACCAACCTCAAATGTTTAGTCAAGCTTTGGCTCTAGGTATAACCGTATAAACAAATTGCGTACATTATCTCCATGGTCTGGAAACATTCGCTCATTTAAAAAATGACTTTGACTTATAAAATTCAGACATCTCTGTCTTCATATCGTATTGTCTCATCTTCTTTCTTAATCATGTGCAGCTGATTCAACTTCTTAATTTGTTTCGCTTCTTGATTCTTCGGGTTCTAAGATTCTGAATAAACATACAGGACCTTTCCATCCACAAGAACCTTCAACTAATTCACTAAACTTTCATGACTTCGAACAATGAATAACTATTTACAAAACGACTATACGAGAAAGACTATATATATATACCTCATTTAGCGCCAGTCTTTATACTTGTTTATATAAAACCAGTCTTTCAGAGCAGACAATGTCCAAATAAATACCGGATACACATTCTCAACTTCGCTAAATCCATGATGGTTTTTGATCCACGACGACGTATACCGATTCATCTAGAATTCATTCTGTAATGCATTTTATCAATCTCATGTGAAAGAAAGCATTCACCAAGTATTGTAGTCCGCAGATATATACTGTAGTTCATAAATTAAAGCTGAGAGGCTACTTGTTCATGTAGCTTGCTGTCTGATAGATCGTTTACACAGCTTGCAATGACTGAACGCAGTGGATCTTACGGCCAAAACGAAAACAGATTGGAATACGCCACATCTAGCTACATTGAAATAGGACGCTCACGATAAATCACGCCGCCATGCTGTTGACGACACGCCTTCGAACTTCTTCAAGCAAGACAACAACAATGAATAACTTGTGGTCCCAGGAGTATACTTTGCAGTTATGCAAATTTACATTCGTAGAGATCTGATGGGTTGCAAAGGGAATATGTAATACATTTTAATAGCGATCGTATATGCATGTTTTGATTTGAAAATCCTAGACGCAGAGGTATATAGTTTGTATATTCTTGAACATGCCTTTTAATTATTTGCGTGAACCTTGGCCTTGCATATTATTTCTGCGTCGTTAGTGAAAACAAGACTTCAGAGTGTTGAGGCATTCAAATTTTGACAATACGTTATTTCAATAGTTTTGGGTTTTTTGGGACACCCTGTATACTGAACCCATGGGGCGTAAATACGATTGAATCGAGTGCAGATACAGTACACAGGTATCCAAAAAAACCCCAAAAACTAGGGAAATAACGTATTGTTAGAATTTGAATGCCCTATAGCACTAAGTTGAGCGCAAATTAAATATAAAAGCGAAAATATTGACAGGGTGCATATATTAAATATTGACTTATTAAGAAATTAAAATATCTTTGTGAAGCGCACGATTTTCTGCTCTTGGGAATTTAAAGCAGCTTCTTAATTAAAAAGTTTCTTTATGCATAAAATTTATTTATGTCAAGCTTTCACGCACTTGTGGGTTCAACAAAGTGCTACGACATTCAAATTCCAACAATATGTTATCAACAATAAGAGTTTCCTTCTTTCTCACTAATAAAGACTTCGTCATATTCGCCACTGCAAGTCTACATTCACAGCGCAAAAACAAGTTGCTAGAATTAAGCAAAAATATAAAAGTACAACAAATTCCACAAATTTTATGCGGCAAACAAATTACGTGATTCAAAATCTTCGTGACTATTCGCATTAAAATAAAATAGAATACAAACTATACATATATATTAAAACCAAATAACTTAAATATAAATTATCATCTAAAATCCTAAACCAGTGCTCTAAACCTGACCATATTCATACCACAGTCCAGGCTTTTCTGAACCCCTATCATTTTTCGGTGCAAGATTTTCTACCTTAGTACTTCGCCTCAGAGATTTTGGCGTTTGTGGTCCCCTTTGTGCGGTTTCCTTAAGTTTAGGTTCACTTCCGGCTTCTCCTGAATTTTTCTTTTCCAAATCAAGGACTCTCTCTTTCCTCTCGAGTTGAGGGCTCGATTCCAACACAGCGGACTGGACCCTAGCCACTTCTTTAAATGACACAATACCGATACTTTGACCCGTCTTTTGGACAAAATCAGGCCGCTGACCAACAGACAGCGGACGCCGAGGCCTTTCGCTCGAAGGGGAAGGTGGGATAGATTTAGCGTGTGACAAATTTCGACGTTCGATTTCAAGTGAGCTGATCAAAACCCGATCAGAATTCTGACGTTGGACTTGATTTCTAGGAAGCGAAGGCGACTGGGGTCTTTCGGCAAAGGAACTCGATCGTTTAGTTTGTGTTTTTTCTTTAGGTCTGTCAGGGAAGGGAGGAGGGTCCTTGGTAGGTGTGTCTGAGGGGCGTATCGTATGTGGGGGAGGTGGGGTGTAATGTCGCGAAGAACGTTTTTGTCCTTCGTTTCCCACGCTGTCTGAACTTCCCGAGGAGAGGCGCTAGAAATGAACAGATTTGAAATACGTGATATTGTTATATACTTAATGTGAACACAAACCGCGTGATTGGCTGATTTGTGGTCACGTGGCTTTAGATAATGCAATGTATCCCCCGCCGAGCAACAAGTGAAAAATTGTTGCCCGTCCCGACCGCGGCTACGTACATAAGTAAACACTCGCAAATTTATAAACTGCGATTTTCCGAGTTTAATAAAGAAAGTGAAATTCTTGTCGCGGATTATTTTTCGCTCAGTTCTAATATGGCGCGAATTTAAATATAAGTAAGGGACGCATGAACGGGCAACAGCTACACTAATATAGCTACAAGTAGTCAGATGACAATACAGTAGAAAAAAAAGTGTATGGTTTCTGCTTTTTATGTGGTTACCAGTGGCGAAGCTAGCCTTGACAATTGGTCTTGCTATACTAAAAGCGGATTTCCATTCAGTGCAAAATATCGCATGATCGATTTTTTGCGATCGCATTTTTTTGAAATGTGCGCAGTCAACTGCAGCTAATGAGATTTGTTCCGCTTGACTGAGTTGTATTTCAAAAGAAAGCGATCGCAAAACGTTGATCGTGCAACATTTTGCACTGAATGAAAATCCGCCTTAATAAACCTGCATCTAAAGTTGGTTAAATTAAAACAATACATTTCTAAACGTTTGAATAATGCAAATCATTGAGAGGCAATATTTTTCAATGTCATGTATTTGCAATGAAAAGTGGTCAAAACCTAAAATCTTTTTGGCGTTCCTCTCAAAATTACTTTGTTTTAGCTTTATTCTCTAGTTTATAGAGTTAGCTACCTTTTTAAATGCATCTGCCGGTTGAGAAACAAAAAACAATAGTTAAAAATAGTCAATTAAAATACAATTATCAATGATGCTTTAAAATTGACGCCATGCATATTTACAGTCATATAAGCAAAACATACTGAACTTCAGACATCATTTTCTCTTTGGCGTATCATCTAAAATCTCTTAATTTTAGCATTACTTTACAGATAAAGCACTAGACATCCTTTTTAAGTTTGTTTGCCGATTGAGAAACGTATCGAAAATAAAAATTTTGAATTTAGTCATAACCTCAAGTGGAATTTACACGCATTAGTTTTGAGCGCGTGTTACGTAACATACAAAAAATCTCCTCTTAAAAATTTACATTGCAAGATCCGTTGGTATTGCTAGATTCGCCACTGGTGGATACGTTAATAGTCGAGATGGCTGAGGCTGACTTCCTCTAGAAAGGGATCCCCCCCCCCCCCGTCAGGGACACATTGATGAAAATATAGCTCACCTGCAATTCATCAGTGTCCTTGCTAACCCCACCATTAACACCGTGTCTTTTCTCAACTTTCTCCCCACCACTCGCACTAGACGTTGCACTCGCACTAGACCCAACATGGCGGACTGTAGTCTTAGATATGTCACTTTCTGTACAGCTCGAAGTTCGAGAACGCAACGAACCTACGTCCGAGCTCTTCCGACTAGATTCGGAAACCCGTTGTGAACTACTCGAGCTATCATCGTGATGTGACGACCTAGAAATACGATCTTCCCATATCGGCAGCTCTGGAGTCCCTTCCACGTTATTATTAACATTTTTCTTCCAAATGGAAGAATTTTCCGGAGTTGCTTCCAATTTAGTATTTACACTTTTCTTTTTAATGAATTGAAAATTTTCTTCATTTATTTCCGTGCGTTGACCTACTTCCACTTTGGTATCAGAACTTTTCTTCCGAGTCAGAGGTAAATTTCCTCCATTTACTTCAGCAAGTTGACTTGCTTCCACTTTGAAATTACCACTTTTCTCTTTAGTAAGAGGAGAATTTTCCGGAGTCAAATTCCTTGTTTCCACTTTAGTACTACCACTTTTCGTTCTAGTAAGAGGCGAATTTCCCCCATTCACGTCAGCGGGTTTATAGTCAGGCGGTTTTCTAAATCGACTTTCCGCGCTTTTTCTCCTCACGCGGGCGGGTGAAAGTCGACCGCTCTCATCTCTTGTACGGGAGAAGCTCAGAGTTCTGTTTACATCATTTGAAAGCTTCCTTTCTCGTCCCGAGTCTCCAAAGCCACTCGGCGAGGGCTGGTGTAGAATAGTCATCGAACTACTAGACAATACCTGCCCAGGACTCGCCTCAGGCCCCTGACCTTGTATCACTTCGCGAACGAACTCTTTAGCGTCCAGGCTTCGGCTCCGTCCTTGTATAGCGAGACTGTTTGCCATTGCTGGCGTGAAGTATTCGGAGCGTACTATCCGCTGACGATGTGCTCGGTTAACGCGGGCTCGTCTCCGAGCCAAAGGCGAGAGGTCGTGCTCGGGAGAATGATCCGAGTTAAAGCTCTCACTAAAGTTTGAAGAGTCGCTCGCTCGCTCAGGCGATATGGGTATTACACCGTGGATCCCTGGTCCCGAATCCACTGACATATCAGGCGAGCCTTCACTGGGACTTTGATCATACTTGACGAGTTGCACAGCGGATTTACTTTTCAATTCTTCATCTTTTTTCTATTTCATCAAAATAGAAGATAAAATACAAAAGCCCTGAGTTGTATTGCTAAAACATTTTCAATGCTGAAAAAAGCCACTGCCATGACAAATACTGTACCTTTTTCAAACCAGCTTTTTGTAAAACTCTCTTAAACAGGTTGCTTTTCCTTAAAAGATAAAGATAAGCTGAGCTTGATGGGCCAGGGAAACTGAGCTGTAATAACGACAGTGGTAAAACAATAACAACAAAAGGTAGTTTGCCATAAGATCTCTGGAACCAGTCACATGACAAACCCGTGGAATAATATACAATGCACAAAATTTCTGCTCTGTATAGCTTTAATTAAAAAGATGAAACAAGGGCAAACTGGCAGTACGAGGAGGAATAATGTAGATATTACGCAGGCAAACATGTCGTATCTTCTCACATACATGTGTTCGCAAAAGGCTTGTATCAAAGCTTGTATCAACAAGATGTAACAATTTTTGTCTGTGTTGGTGTTGTGTACTCAGGTGAATATGATGAAATATGATGAACCTACGACATTTGGAACCAAAGGTCGTAGGTTCGATTCCCACCGTAGCCAGGCATATTTTTCAAGCTTGCCCGGTGTGGATTTTCACTCAGAGGAACATTGCAAACATCAAGATGTAACAATGTTGTAAATTTCTCAAGTTGCAACAAGTTGGGCGTTTTTACGTGTGTAGATCCAGTCTACTTACTTCTTTGGAGTATTTTCTGCAAGACTCTTGTTTGCTTGTTCAATTTTCTCTTCCAACTTTTCTTTCTGTCTTTGAAGTTCATACAGTCTATCACTAAAAATAAGAAGGTTGATTGCATTGCAAGGCTTAAAAGTTCCATACTTAAATACAAACGTAACATAGGCAAATCATTATACTTACGAAAACGTTCTTTCCTCCTCCAGGAATTGATCACGGCTGACTAATGATTCAGTCAATAACTCTTGGTTCTATGCCGAAACAAACGTTAAGTGTAAACTTACTTTATTTATACTGCATAATTCTACCAGTAATTTCTAAACTGTTCTAAATATACCTGGGTCAGAAGTCTATTCATTTGTTCCATGAGCATTCTATTTTCCTCCTCCAAGGTGCTGTTCATTTGCGTTAACATCTACAATGTGGAGGACAGTGGTCATCATACAAATCAACATATACACATGCATAAGGTATATGACAACAAAACACCACACACACCACAATAGACGATAGCGTCCCGTACCAAAACAGAGAATACCACACCATACCATACCATACCATACCATACCATACCATACCATACCATACCATACCATACAACCATACCATAGCATACAATACCATACGTACCACACTAAGCCATGCAAACCACAACGTACAATACCACGCCATGGCATACCATACCATACTATACCATTTCATACCATGTAATACCATACCACACCACATTATACCATACCACACTAAATCATGCATACCACAATGTACAATATCATGCCATAACACATCATACCATACTATATTTCATTTCATACCATATAATATCACACTACACCACACCATCTAACACTTTACCACATCACAGTTAAGAAGCATTCCTGGGTTTTGGCAGATCACCAAAAAATATTATTAGGCTACTAACCTCACAACGATGAAGAGATTTGGCGGATGATAAATCCAGTTCAGTGTAACTTTCCTTCAGTTCATTAAGATCAACCAAAAGCTGATCGTAATCAGACTTCACCGTGTCCAATTCTTGTGTCAAACTTTTGTTTTCTTCCTTTAATGACGCATATCGTCCTTCGGTACGTTCTTTATTCAAACGTAACTTTTCACACTACAACAAAAACACGGGGGATTAAATTTAAGCTACAGAAGACATTGGCATCTGAAAATATTGCTTGCCCAAGTAAATATATATCCTCAAAAACGTTATTGGGCATACAAAATCCCTCTCTCGGAAGCAATTTGTGGCTCAAAAGAATCACACACATTTTGTTTCAAAAGTGCGGAACAGTATTGGTTTGTTACAAGATGCGCGCTTCTACGTTAGTTTAGTTTAGTTCCAACTACCTCCTTCCCCAAATCTTCATATTTAGTTCCAAGATTTCCCCCGCTGTCTATTGTAACACAAGCGACATCCAGTCTGTAAGTTAAACAACGAATGAACATATATTAAAGATGTTTTATAGTGCTCAACAATCAAACAATATATATTGTGTGGCGTAAACCTCCCCTCAAGGTATGGTAACAATATCCTCGACAAAGGACGGTATATCTCGAAATGTCAAAGGTAGCTTGCTATAAAATGAAAGAAAGGCTAACATACTTCTCTTCCAAAGACTGAATTTTCTCATCTTTCTGAGTGATCATTTCATGAACTCCATGACCTGTATCTTCCAATTTCATTTTAAAACTGTTGATACGTTTCTGCTTTTCCCCGTCTACTTTTCTTAACTTATAGACTTCAGAGGTCGTACTCTCAAGGCTAGAATAAAGTAACGAATGTGAGAATTAAATTCTGTATGATTGCTTAAGAGGAGAATCTTTTCTTGTATGTTACGTAACACGCGCACAAAATTAATGAATATACTTTTCCACTTGGTTATAACTATATTCAATTTTTTTAAATTTTTGATACAATTCTCAAGCGGTGAACTTAAAAAGTATGTCTAGTGCTAGCTTTGTCTGTAAATTTATGCTAAAATGAAAAGATTTTAGACGGTATACGCCAAAGAGAAAATGGTGTCTGAAGTTCATGCAGTAAGTATGTATAACGGCCAGATATATGTAAACTACAAAATAAAGCTAAAACAAAGAAATTCTGAGTGGAATTAGTTGTGCTTCCAGGAAGATAATTCTTTTTTCCCGCCCTGTCTCTAACCCCAGACAATGTTACCGGTGAAGGAAAATGTTGGGCATTAATTTTGCTTGCTAACGCATTGTGTTATACATGCACTTACCGACTTTCAAGGGAATTAATTTCCTGTTGGTTCTGGTCGAGGCTGACTTGCAAGATTCTCACTCTTTCTTCTTTGTGTTTAATGGTTTGTTTCAAACGTTCGTTTTCTTCGAGAGCATCAGATGATTCTTGCAACCTACATAATGAATAAAGTCATGAAAATACTATGTTCTTAAAAATTATCAACAATTAGCACTTAGCCATTTCTAGCACTATGGAATATACATGCAAAAAAAACCCCACACCCTTCCGATCGCTACGGCCCTATAATAGACTCATTTGGTTAGAGCTATCCACTGGAGTCGCAGATTCGATTTCTGCCGGAGAGCCTATATTTGCATTTTTCATAGCTGCTATAATCTTCAAACGTTGGGCAAACTCCTAGCTAATCAAATGAACCCTGGTCGCAGGGGTGATACACTATATGTAACTTACCGTTGTTCCAAATTTGTATTTGGGATTCTTTTCTCTTAATTTGATGGTGAAGTTTACCTTTCTCGTTTTCAGTTTCCTCAATTCTACATAAAATAAACCCAGACCAAAAGCACTTAATGTATAATCTTTACTCCTTAATAATATTAACCACGCCTGCAGATTTTATTTATGTGGAAGTAGGCAAAGGTTTTTCAAGTTGTCAGCCAGTAACTCCAAGTTTAGACAACTACTGTAGCTTGTAACTTGCTTGTAACTCTACAATTTTTAAATCAACTAAGTGTTGAAGTTTTCAAGCACATGCACATTTGAATTTGAAGTTAGCTCCTTATCAGGGACGCCGGAACTGGGGGGGCAGGGGGGGCGGCTGCCCCCTTGCCTTTTGCTAGGGGGGGGCAGGGGGGGCAGAAGTGCCCTTTTAGTTGTAAAATAATACGTGATAAATCACATTTCCAACGATGCTTTTTGTAGGAAAATCACGAGATTCAGGTAATCTATAGTTTATATTTATAAAACTTGTGGGAAATTTTTGGAATTTAGAAAAATATTTTGAAGAAATGGCGAAAATTTAAGATATCCGGAAAAATTTTTGGCTTCACGGAAAATTTTTTTATGTCCGGAAAAAATTTTTGACCCCTAAAAGGTGCCCTTGGTGTGCGTCCGCCCCCCTTTGCCCTATTATCGTTCCGGCGTCCCTGCTCCTTATAATATGAAGTGTCGCTCCATGATTCCTAAATTCCACAACCATTGTATTGATCTTCATCTACACGCGTAAAAATCTCACATCTTGTAACAAGTCTGCCAACAAGCCGTCAACAAGTTGTGTTCGCACTGCTTGTCCCAAGTTGTCAACAAGTTTGGAACAAGCTGTTAGCAACCTGCAACAACCTTGTTGATATTATCAGACTTGTTGCGAGGTTGTTCCAACAAGTCTGATACAGTCATGACATAACAATATTTTACAACCTTGTGTCGTCAACCTTGTAGCATTCTTGTTATATTGTGATTGTATCAGACTTGTTCGAACAACCTTGTAACAAGTCTGATAACATACCATCAAGCTTGTTACAAGTTGTTAACAGCTTGTTTCAAACTTGTTACAACAACCGGGAACAAGCATTGCGAACACAACTTGCCGAGACCTGTAACAACTTGTGCATGCGTTTTTGCGATTAGCTTCACTCACCTTGCTTCAGCATCCCACAACTTTTGCTTCAAAGTTTGAATTTTACTTGCGTCAATCGAAGATGAAGTGGATACCCTGGGACTAAATGGAAAACAAAATTATCGTGAATATTGCCATTAAGCAACGTTTTCATTAAGAGACCTTTTTTCAACATCGCGTATTTGCAATGAAAAGTGTTCAAACCTAAAATATTTTTGGCGTTCCTCTCAAAATTAATTTGTTTTAACTTTATTTTGTAGTTTACACAATTAGCAAAATGTACCTGGCGGTTGAAAAACACAAAATAACAGTTGAATATTGTCAATTTATAAATATACAATTACTACTGATGCTGTAAAATTGACGCCATATTTATACAGCAATATAAGCAAAAGTTACACTGAACTTCAGACGTCATTTTCTTTTTGGCGTACCATCTAAAATCTCTTTATTTTGGCATAATTTTACAGATCAATTGTACACTAAAGATTTTACACTAAACATACTTTTTAAATTTGTTTGCCGCTTGAGAATCGAAAAAAAATAGTTTCAACTCGCCATCCACACATTGTTCTATGTAAATGTGGCATATACAGCTAATTCAAAATTAGGTTGTCCTTTGCAAACCTTACGCTCGTATTCTAAAAGCTCACTCACACTCAATGAGTGGAGGTTCAATCTGAACTTCTATCGAGTGTCATTGCTGCTTTTGAATAGCTGGAGGGTGAGTAGTCACATGGTAAGCTATAGGTATGACACTAGTCCTCCAACTATTCAAAAACAGCATGACACTCGGGGGAAGCTAACATTGCACTTCCTCCCATTGAGTGTAAATGAGCTTTTAGAATACGGGCGTTAAACTCTAAACCTCAAACCCTAAACGTGCAAAGCATCATTTAATCAGTTTAGAAATCATATATGGGGCCCATTTCTTAGAGACATGGTAAATATCTCCTTACGAGAACAATTCATTCACAAATAGATGCAATATTCAACTACTAAGCTTGAAATGCTCGTGCTCCCATTAAGCTTTGCGCGCTTATAGTTTAAGGTTTAGAGTTTTTAAACTTAAACCTTAAAAGGTTTGCATCAGCTGTATTGCAAAAATTATTGCAAAACTGAATCACGATGATATAAAATTGATAAGATTTTGTCTACCTTTGCAACAACGATTCCTCGCTCTGCTTGATAGTCAAACAGTTCCTCTCGTCTAAAGAAGCTTCCAGTTCCAAAATCCTACACCAAATAGTAAGAATCGTTCACATCAAATAAAAGCAAACAGCTAAAACGGCTATCGAATAAATCGTTTCCGATGTTGTGGCTTAAAGGCTCATTTTTCCACTCAGGAAAATTTTCAGCAGAAAGAAAATTTTGTAAAATTTGATTGGCGGACACAAATTTTCCGTCGGCAAATATTTTGAAGATGAACATTTTCAACTTTTAACAATTATGTTTTCGGACAATTTTCTGTCCGTGGAAATTTTCCAGAGTAGAAATGGGCCTTAAAGGCCATGTAAAGTCCGTAATGTTTGTTTATATTTGGAACTCAGTGCTACAGTTGTAAAATATGATTAGATATAATATATTATACTGAATTTTTAACACTCTTCTGGTTCGCTATGCTTGTAAATGAATACAGACTAGAGATTCAATTCAAAAAAGTTCCGAAGGTGCGAAATATTAATAACATTCCAATTATCGGCTCCCGACCATTGGAATGTAGGCCTGCGCAGAATGCATGCGCAGAACGGACTTAACATTGTCTTTAAGGTAAAACTGTGACTATACCCAATATTAAAGATCACGGGAATAGATTCGAACTTATACGTTTAGATTCGAAATTACAGGTTTAGTGATCAATAAAACTATTTTGTGTTCGTACTTGAGACAACCAAAGAAAAGCTTCACACTTTAATCCTGCATGGTAATTGGGAACACAGAATATATACTGATTCTACTCTACCTGGAGTTCCGTTCTTCCAGATTCTTCGATTTCCTCTCCAACGAGTTTTCTAATTCTCTTTCTCTGTGAATAAAATCAGTGAATTTTTAATGCAGCGAAAACAATTAGTTGCATCGAACAAAATGGAATGTTACCTATTTTCAACTTCGTCTAAATCTCGCGCTGTTTTCTTTAATGCTTCCTCTTTCTTCTTCAATTTTGAATCAAGTTTTTTATTTTGCTCTGCGCATTCATCAATCCTGCAAAAAAACATAAACAAATATAAAATTTTTGCGAAGCAAAAAGTATGATAATGTCCCAAGTTAACCCGAGTATCAAACTTAACCACCTAAATAATACAGTATATGTCAGATGAATCATTCACTTTAATGATCCCGGCTATAGGAAGCATGAGACGTTTTCATCCCATCACATTCTAAAAACTCCGTGGTTAAAAATTCCTGGTTATACTCAAACATTAAGATTTTGTACTTTTTGTGTGTGTTGGTGTAAGTGAATAGGATGTTTGTGGTGCATCCACACCGCGGGCAAGCTGAAAAGTCTGCCTAACCACGGTGGGAATTGAACCCGCGACCTTTGGGATACTATGGTCCAGGGTGTATAAAAAACGGAATCCTCGATTAAAATTTAACTTTCAAAAAGAATAATATGTTTCTGTTTATATACATCCATTCTACTTATAATTCTGGTATATATACGGAGTGATTCGTTGGCATTCGTGTCGACATATAAATCTGCTCTAGAATTACAACGCGACGCCTACGACGACATAACATAATAATAAAATTGCATAGCTGAATGTGGCAAATTTTCTCTTGTTTTGCCGTGTTTCGGAAGATAAAAGAACAAGCTTAATTTATTGTTTTGGCGACTGAAATTCATTTGTTGCAGTGCGTTCCAAAACAGGTGCATGCAAATAAAGTTTTCCCAGCCAATCAGAATTGTGATATAAAGTTATTAGGGCTATTCATATACGAGCTGGTTTTATGATCAATTTTGAACTGGATTTGGGAATGTGAAGTAAAAAAATCCAATTATCTTTTAACAATGTTTTCTTGCTACTTTTTGTCGACGCGTGGCAACAATAACAGTATACTAAGGTGTTTAAAATGCAAGAAAATTCAATTCAAACGCTACGATGAAATAATAAATAATTCTCTTGTGCATGCCGTCATTTGTTGTTCGGAAGAGAAACGAACAAGCTTTATTGTTTTTGGTCACTGTATGATTTTCATTTGTTGCAATGTGTTCAGCCAATCAGAATTGTGATATACTTCTATATAAAGTATTCAGAACCAATACTCATATCAAGTTATTAGGGCCATTTTTTGACGAGCCGTCGCGCACAACTCATATAAATAGGCAATTTGCAGAAAGCAGCTGCTCATTTTAGCGAACAAATTGACTGTTTAGTTTTATATACGAGTCGTTAACTAGTGTATACTTAATTACACTTTTTAGCCGCCAAAGCAGAATCTAGAATTCATTCCCTATATAGATAATTCTATACTATATAGGCTACAATGCATGTATATGTGCAGATTTGGAAGTGTTTTACAACAATAGATTGATTGATGATAAAAGTTTAAACAAGAAAATTCTAGAATTACAACGCTACGCCTACGACGACATATAAACATAATAAAATTGCATAGCTGAATGTGGCAAATTTTCTCTTGTTTTGCCGTGTTTCGGAAGATAAAAGAGTTGCAGCATGTTCCAAAACAGGTGCATGCAAATAAAGTTTTCTCATGCAGCCAATCAGAATTGTGATATAAAGTTATTAGGGCTATTCATACTAGCGAGAATAAGCCGCAGCTGAATTAAGTCACGAACGACTCAAACAAACAGTCAATTTGCAGTCAATCATTTGCGAACAAATCGACTGTTAATTTGAACCGCGACTTATTTTCGCTAGTATAAATAGCCATGTTAACTCTCTTGGTAACTATTATATACATTTATCACTTATCTATAGAGACCAAGAGAAACAGTGTGTTTTGTGGACCAAAGACCGCCTCGAGGTGCCACAAAACACACCACTTTTCCGAGCCCGAGGTCTCAGTACATAAGTGTTTCTGTTATATAGTGTATATAAGTGTCAAAGTATGAATAATTCACCGCTTATTTTATAGCGAACTTTGAAACCAAAACTAGATAAATGAAACGCCGTAAATGTTTAATAAAAAAGTTTAATAAAATGAACTTTGAAACTTCACGGTTGACGCGCATGCGCACTGCACCCATTCTATTGTTGACCGGTCAATAAATGTTCTGCTATGGACTGATTGCCTCGTTGCCAGGGCAATGCAGTAAAGACGACGTTTTGCGGACCGGCACGTGATACGCTTTTGACCACTTGGAAAACAGAAAAATTTAACTTTGACATCAAGTATATAACAATATTAGTTTTAATAAAGCGTTCCATTGTGCACCAACTATTAGTGAACGAACGCCTATATATAGTCTAAGAGTCATTTGGCAATTGCTTTGGGCAGAACATGTCTCTATTTAAAACGATACTGGCGTACGTTCAGTTTTTTGCTTTCATCGGATATGGTGCAACTATGAAACATGCCATATTTAAAAGAAAAACTGGACAATATTTACCAGATAGTGTGATCACAATGAAATATACAGAAAGTGAATTAGAGTGTTCCATGCATTGCACAAGCATCGACGCGTGCTTGTCAGTGAATTACAAAGATAGCGGAGTGGATCAAGGTTTATGTCAACTCAACAACAGTACAGCTTCAGAAAGTCTTGTGCTGGTTCCCGATGATAAATTTGTGCATCTTTCCATTTTAAAGGGGGTAAGATATTTCTTTATGATACCACAAATGGGGCCCAGCTATATAGTATGTCATATTCTCGAATAAGTTAATCCTGCGCTATACTCTATAGGCCTATAGAGTGGCTAGGGAAACTAGAAAAATTGTTTCCTAACCATTTGCTTGCTTCTTCAAGGTTCGATCGTAGTTTCAAAGACCGAAACAAATTCAAAGACTTAACTTCAAAATCAAGACCAGGCATTAAAATTTGGATTTTTTTACAAGGACAAACTTAATTACCTCCACGCCAAGGGCGACAATTACTTGGAAGTTTGGCAGAGAAGCTTGAGCATGCATAAATACTCGTCAACTAAGGAAAGGCTTATCGAATATTCGTTAAAGTTCAGTGCCCTAGCGTTTAAGGCAAAATGCGAGCCGTCAATAACTTTAATTTTTACCGTGACTTGGAAAAAGTAACTTTATGTCTCGAGCAACGAAATCAGACTATAGTTGTGCAAATGTGACTATAATGCATACATTTCAGTCCGATATCAATAAATATTTCAAATTTAGAGGTCACAGAAGCGCAGTTTTCGGCACATTTGGGTCGTTTAAATCAATGGTTGAGGGCAGGCTATCTATAACAAGTACATAAATCATGCAGTCTAAATGATTCATAACTAAATTGTCAATTGTCTAATGAAAAGAACTGAATCATGAAAAGCGAGTCCTGATTTTTGTAGCATAATTTTATTATTTACCGCGGATATTGCCAAAATAATTGAAGACGTTGGTAATTTAACAGACGTTTCTTGACATGTTATAAACAGAGAAAACAGAAATATATAAACCACAAATATATTGATCTGGCTATCATCAGGCAATAAATACAGCATGATTACTTCAAACAAAATTGCTGTGGGAAGTGGCTGCATAGAAATAGATTTTCTCCGGGTTTTATTCCCAGAACCAAGTACATTGTCCACATGCAAGGGCACACTTTTCAATTTACAAGGACACATTTTCCTTTTACAAGGACACAAAATGTGTCAAAAAAACACGCTATTTTAATGCCTGATCTTCTAGACATGTTCTACCTATATTATCAATGATTTTTTCATGCACCATTTTGACGGTAAGCTAATATTTTGGACAACAAAGATAATCAACTATACGAAGCACAGTCACTTTTTGTGGGAGAATGGTTGTTGGGCAGAAGTGCTCCGATTATGTTTAACTGTGGCCAAAGTCTCCATATTTTCACCTTTAAACGCCGGTCAACGTTCATTGTATTCTGTTTAGAGTAAACCCAAGACGAAAGAAATTGCCAGCAAGCGCAGCTGCAAAGAATTATTCGACGATGACAGGTAATCCATATTGAAAATATTACCATATTGAAACAGGTCAATGCAAATAAACTAACTTTGTCTATACTGGAACAGTTCTTCACTGCTTTCCTTAGATGTCCATGTTCGTTTCTTGTTGGCTTAGTGTTACTATTAGACGTACCATAAGCTAAATTCAACCTAATATAAGAGGCAACCTAAACTAAACTAACTAAATTCATAATGTTAGCGCGTTGCAGTTCCATGAAACGCATACAAACTTATATACAGGTCCTATAGACTAAACACAGAAACAGACAGACATATACACACATATACAATCGCTGAAGAAAATATAACCTAGCGGAGGTAATAATATTCCTAAACTATTAAATAATAAGTAAAACACAAAGGAAAATTTATCTTTACTAATTTTTTTGTTTATTCCACATTACAAGTACTCAAAAAATTCTATATTTATCAACAATTTCATGACATGAACGGATTTGTGAAATTGAGAGCCGTTTCAAAATTGTCTACTTTATTCTGATACACCCTGTAGTTAGGTATTGCTCTAAATCTAAGACATCATTTTCATTTACAATTAAGGTGTGATAAAAGTATCATTATTTTATTCCAGGTCATTGCCAAACGATGCTTACACTGTGCAGTTCAACATTTCCTCGTCTCCGTATAAGGTATATTGTCACATGACAGATATTCCCGTATGTGGAGGAGGAGGTTGGACACTAGTCATGAAAGTGAATGGAAATATGGTAAGATAGAAATCGAGGGTTAGTTCATGTTGAACTTCAATTAACCAAACAATCAATCACTCAATCAAATCATCAATTAAGCAGCCAAACAATCAGAGAAAGTTTTTCTTTCAATTTTCTAACTGAAACTACGTCTTAAATAATCGTTGGCTACTAAAGCATCATCTATCAGTCAATTAAATTCTCTTTCTTAAATTATTGTTTTTTCCTAATTTAGTCCACATTTGACTACAATTCACCTTTGTGGACGAACAAGGAAAGTTATGCAGTTGAAGATGGACTTGAAGAACTAACAGAGAAAGAAAGTAAACTGGCCTCTTATTGGAACACTCCTTTCAAGAAAATATGCCTTGGTATGACCGTTAATAGTGACAGAAAATGGATGATGTTAGATTACGAAGCAAGTTCGCTGTACAGTATGATCGCAGATGGACAATACCGTAGCACATCCGCTGGAAAAGACACCTGGATGTCTGTGATCGCAGACTCTTCCTTGCAGCCCAATTGCAACCATGAAGGTTTCAATATCCAATTCCCATATATCAATGCTCGCCTTGGTTTTGTTGCCAACAACGAAAATGGTTGTGGGTCCTGTGACTCTTGGATAGGTTTTGGTATTATATACTCCTTTACTTGTGGTACATTCTATCAGGCGTGCGGTAATCGTGCAGTATGTGCAGTATATCGTGTTGTAAACATCCCAGCATTTGGGTATATATTGGTGCAGTAAAACATTCATCCTTTAGCAAGACATGAAAATGCATTACAATGAAAACTGTAAAAAGGAAGTTAAAGAATTAAAGTTAAAACGACAGGCCTAAATGTTAATATGATTTGGTTATTGTGTTTGGGCAAATCGCCCAACTTATTCGCATGTATATATAACTTAAATGCTTGGATACAATTGTGATTTGTTCTGTGCCCACTCTGTCAGTATAGCTTTAGTAGCTATAGCATTGGAATTTTTTCAAACTCTAGTTTAACAAAATAAAGGTGTGATAAGTGTTCCAACTATATGTTTACACTTAAATTGGATATATGAAATAAATGATATTAAGAACAAGCTGAGTGTCCTTTAGTAGCTGGGACTAGGGAGCGCGAGGGTGGAGTGTTTTCACCGTTCACACAATTTCCACGAGTGTTGAGAAAACTGTATATCAATACGGAAAAATGTATTTTTTTTATCTCAAACTCATTAACAATTCCAACATGAGCTCCACCTTTGAATTTGCTATATGAGTAAATTCTTAAACACGTCCGAATTTATCATTATGATAAATTCGCGGCAGATTTTGAATTTATCAATAGATTTTCAAGTTTTTTTAAAAAAATAGTTTTTAAAAAAGTTTTAAAAGAGTTTTAAAAAGCAAAAAAGCCCAAAAAGTTAGATTTATAAAAAAGTTAAAAAAGTTTAAAAAATTTAAAATGTTTAAAATGTTAGGGTTAGGGGGTAGTGGTTAGGGTTGGGGTTAGGGTTAGTGTTAGCTGCCGCGAATTTATCATAATGATAAATTCGGACGTGTTTAAGAATTTACTCATATAGTAAATTCAAAGGTGTTGAACAATTCATGAGTAAATTAGCCAATCATATTATTTTATTTTGCTCACATGACAATACTGGATATCTGGTGAACAGGTGAAGTATATTGATTCAGTCCCAGGACTGGATCAAAATTAATTCAATTCTTGGACTGGATCCAAATTAATATACTTTTTGGAATGGATCAAAATTAATTCATCTCACTTTAATTAGTAGTGATTTATTCGTATGAGATGTCATTTCAAATCCTCCAAATTGCGCGGACTTAAAATCTATTCCAGTCCTCACAGTCAGATTTGAAATATTACATACAATATAGCACAAAGAAATATAAAGAAAAAAAATCTTCGGGGGTTGACATTGAGTTATGTCAACACGGTTCTTGGCCAATCAGCGTTTAGAATTTACAAATGTTATATGTATGTTCTGTATATATATTATCAAGATGCAATTTGCAATAAGCAGCTGCTCATTTTAACAAAAAAATTGACTGCTTATGTACGAGCCGTCAACTAGTGTATATTAACAGTTGTTTCAATAAAGCGTTATCATTGCCCACCAGCTATTGGACTGAATTTTGCAGTTGATTTGGACAAAATTAACATGTTTCTATTTAAAACGATGCTAGCGTACGTTCAGTTTTTTGCTTTCATCGGATACGGTGTTACTATGAAACATGCCATATTGAAAAGAAAAACTGGAAAGTATTTACCAGATAGTGTGATCACAACGAAATATACAGGAAGTGAATTAGAGTGTTCCATGTATTGTACAAACATCGACGAGTGCTTGTCAGTGAATTACAAAGCTGGCGGAGTGGATCAAGGTTTATGTCAACTCATCAACAGCACAACTTCAGAAAATCTTGGACTGGTTTCCGATGATACATTTGTGCATCCTTCTTTTGTAAAGAGGGTAAGATATTTCTTTATGATTCTCGAATACGTTAATAGTGCGCTATATAACCATAAGACAATTATAACCCAATCATCTGCAACGCACACTTTTTGTGGGAGATGGGCAGAAGTGAATGAATGAATGAATGAATGAATGAATGAATGAATGAATGAATAATTTATTTAGACATGCACGTTACGTCCAGGAGCATGCATAAAGCTCGTTCATAATACGAAGGTGAAGTGCTCCGATTTAAGCTCCTTCTTGACCCGATAATCATTCCTAGAATGCGTCTACTCTTCGATATTTGTAAAAATCTTCCTAAAATCCACCATCCATTTTACTATAGCTATAGAGAATCGTATAAGTCAAATACTTGCTAAATAATATAAGACTTTTAGAGACTTCTGCATGCATATTTTCATATAATTCAAAGATTTTCAAAAGATCCACAATCGAATTTAAAGCCTTTCAAAGACTGCTACCGAATCCTGTTACTGTTTCCACAACAATGTCTGATATTTTTACCTTTAACATCAGTCAACGTTCACTGTATTCTGTTTAGAGTAAACCCAAGACGACAGAAATTGCCAGCAAACACAGCTGCAAAGAATTACTCGACGATGACAGGTAATCCACATTGAAAATATACCACCATATTGAAACAGATCAATGCAAAAAAACTAACTTTTTTATACTGGAACAGTTCTTCACTGCTTTCCTTAGATGTCCATGTTAGTTTCTTGCTGGTTTACTGTTATTATAAGAAGCAACCTAAACTAAACTAAATTCATAATGTTAGCTCGTCAGTTCCACTTTTTTCTCCAAAATGCCTAAAGCTATCCGATCTTTATTGCCGCAGTCCTCCTACAGCTATAAAGAAAACTTGTACGCGTTCATTTTCTTTGTGTTTTGCTTATTATTTAATAGTTTATAAATATTATTACCTCCGCTAAGCTATATATTTTCATCAGCGTTTGTATATATGTGCATGTGTGTATATGTCTGCTTCTGTGTTTGCCTTCAGCATGATAACATAAAAAAACTATCAAACGTATTAATACGAAAATTTGTGGGACTAATGTACATTGCCGCGAAGGAAAAACTGATTAAATTTTGGTAACATTTGGATGAAAACTGAATGAGAAATGAGCAAAACTTTGTCTTGCTTTGCTGGGCAGAGTAAACTGAATGCGTAATTAGCCCATTGTATAATTTATGTATGATTTATGGCGTGTGTGCCTTTTTGTTAGGTATTGCTCTAAGACATCATTTTCATTTACAATTAAGGTGTGATAAAAATACCATTATTTTATTCCAGGTCATTGCCAAACGATTCCTACACTATGCAGTGGAACATTTTCACGTCTCCGTATAAGGTATATTGTCACATGACAGATATTCCCGTATGTGGAGGTGGAGGTTGGACATTAGTCTTGAAAGTGGATGGAAATATGGTAAGACAGAAATCAATAAGGATAATGCATATTAAACTTCAATTAACCAATCAATCAATCAATCAATTCATCAATTAAGCAGTCAAACAATCAGAGGAAGTCTTTCTTCAACTATCAGTCAATTAATTTCTCTTTCTTAAATTACTGTGTTCTTACTAATTTAGTCCACATTTGACCACAATTCATCTTTGTGGACGAACAAAGAAAGTTATGCAGTTGAAGATGGACTTGAAGGACTAACAGAGAAAGAAAGTAAACTGGCCTCTTATTGGAACACTCCTTTCAAGAAAATATGTCTTGGTATGACCGTCAACGGTGACAGAAGATGGATGATGTTAGATTACGAAGCAAGTTCGCTGTACAGTTTGATCGCAGATGGACAATACCGTAGCACATCCGCTGGAAAAGACACCTGGATGTCCGTGATCGCAGGCTCTTCATTGCAGTCCAATTGCAACCATGAAGGCTTTAATATCCAGTTCTCAAATATCAATGTTCGCCTTGGTTTTGTTGCCGACAACAGAGATGATTGTCGGTCCTGCAACTCTTGGATAGGTTTTGGTATATACGCCTCTACATGTGGAATAATGGGAAATCAGGCGTGCGGTAATCGTGCAGCATGCAAAGTAGATCTTATTGTAGACATCCCAGCATTTGGGTATATATTGGTGCAATAAAACATCCATCCTTTTAACAAGACATCAAAGTGTAGTACAATAAGAACTGTATGAAGGAAGTTAAAAAATTAAGTTAAAACGACAGGCCTTATGATTAATATGATTTGCTTATTCTGCTTTTGGCAAAACGCCCAACTTATTCGCATGTATATATAACTTAAATGCTTAGATACAATTGTGATTTGTTGTAGTATGTCCCTACTTTGTCAGTATAGCTTTAGTTGCTGACCATTTGACGTTAGGAGTGCCTGGCAACGAAAGTGGTGACACATCTCGATCTGAAGCTGCCTGTTTACAGGATTGGGCGGAAGAGAATAGAATGCCCTTAAACTTGGAAAAAAACGTACAAAATGGTTGTTCGCAGACACACCTCTGTAGTTTTGTCTGAGCTTATCCCTTCAATTAAGCGAAAAACATGGCTAAAGCTTTTAGGAGTTACTCTATGACGGTAAATATTTGAACCAAATAAATAAATTCATTAAACGTGCACATAAGAATGGTTATATATCAAAACGATACGTGATAAGAGAGATAAGAAACTGTGGAACAACATAACATCAACTGAGGACAATGCATTGCTTGAACTGCTGCCGGAAAAAAGAAGTATAGGTTACTTAGGCCTAGAGGGCACGAGTATGAACTCTCCCTAGTGAGAACTAGGGGGATTTCATAACTATAACTTTGTTTAGACTTTAATGTATTTAAAACTTTTATTACGCTTCTTAACTTACATTGTAAATATAACTATCTAGATCAATTACCTTTCGATTGTAAACTCAGACGAATGTATCTGAGTATTTTAATAAAGACTATTATTATTATTATTATATTATTATTATTATTATTATTATTATTATTATTATTATTAATTACCTAAATTAGTGAGATTTATAATTGTATATATACGTATATAATTTCAATAAAGTTTCCATTATTATTATTATTATTATTATTATTATTAAAATCAGTCAAGAACAACTCATATAAACAGTCAATTTGCAATTAAATTGACTGTCTGCGAACAAATTGACTGTTTACACGAGACATACGCGGCTTATTTGAGCCGCGACTTATTTTCGCTAGTGTAAATAGTCCTATTAATTCTCTTAATATAACTATTGTATATTATCAGTTGTTTAATTAATAAAGCGTTGTCGTTGCGCACCAACTATTGAACGAACGCCTTATATAGTCTAAGAGACATTTGGCAATTGCTTTGGCCAAAGCATGTCTCTATTTAAAACGATAATAGTGTACGTTCAGTTTTTCGCTTTCATCGGATATGGTGCTACTATGAAACATGCCATATTTAAAAGAAAAACTGGACAATATTTACCAGATAGTGTGATCACAACGAAATATACAGAAAGTGAATTAGAGTGTTCCATGCATTGTACAAGCATCGACGCGTGCTTGTCAGTGAATTACAAAGCTAGCGGAGTGGATCAAGGTTTATGTCAACTCAACAATAGAACAACTTCAGAAAATCTTGGACTGGTTTCCGATGATAAATTTGTGCATCTTTCTATTGTAAAGAAGGTAAGGGTATTTTTATGATGTCACAAACGTATGGATCCAGTGTAAGCAGTGTATGTAATATTCTAGAATACGTTTATGGGTAAATAATTGGGCGTCTAACTCGATTGAACTATATAATGTTGAAGGATTTTGTAGATGGAAATTTCGACTATGAATTTTACGTCAGAAAACATTGTTTCCTAACCATGTTTCTCTAAAGTATAGAATTACAGGAAACATTTCTTCCGCAATGAAAGTCACACGTCTACAATAATGTTTAGTATTTTTACTTTAAACCCCAGCTAGTCAATGTTCACTGTTTTTCTGTTTAGAGTAAAGCTAAGACGAAAGAAATTGCCAGCAAACCCAGCTGCAAAGAATTACTTGAGGATGACAGGTATAATCCAATATATTGAAAATATAACACCATATATACTGAAAAAGATCAATGGAAATAAATTTTAAAATTTTGTGTTGTACTGCCATATTCATTTCTTGTTGGTTTATTGTTACTATAAGAGGAATGCTGAACTAAATTCGACCTCATATAAGAGGCATATAACCAAAACTAAATTCATACAAACCCATGCATCAGTTCCACTTCTTTCACCAAAATATACCTACACGCAGTTTAAATTACAAAGCCATCCTTAATCGGTGCAGTCCTCCTACAGGAGGACACCTGCACTCGCTTTTATTTCCTTTGCGTTTGGCCTAATTAAGTGGACTAATAGATATTTTCCAAGGACTTAGAAAAGTTTGTCTTTCTTTGTTAGGCAGAGTAAAACTGCATGATACATGTATGCAGTCTCCGTGTACACTCCAGTTAATTAATATATGAGAATTTATGGGAATATTATTGTTTTAAAAGCTTCCGTTGTAGATTTCTGAAACGTCCTAACGGACTGAACATTATTTTACAGCTCTCTACAAAACGGCATCTACCATCTACAATCAAAGGCTTCCACAGAAAAATATCCAGTCTATTGTCACATGACTGAGATTCCTGGATGTGGAACAGGAGGCTGGACATTAGTGATGAAAACAAACGGAGATTTGGTAAGATAAAAAGAAATTTTTAGTTTGTCGTTGTAGAAAATATCTGATCGGCCTAGCAACGTCTTCAAAGGATCAGTTGTGTTTTGCATATATAAATGTTTTTAACATGGAAATAGGTTTGAGATGCTGCTGCTCCGAGTGTCTTGATTGAATTGATTGAAAGCTTGATCAAGGTGCTAACCAATATCTACTCGGATATCTTAATTTAGATAATTAAAATCAGAAACTACTTGATATAGTCAATGCTCATATTTGCCCCGTTCCGTCTTCCCTCTTGGTAAACTTAACTTGTTCTCTATTTCTCAATTACACAGAGTACATTTACATATCATTCCCCATTGTGGACGAACAAGGAAAGTCATGCAGTTGAAGATGGACTTGAAGGACTAACAGAGAAAGAAAGTAAACTGGCCTCTTATTGGAACACTTCTTTCAAGAAAATATGTCTTGGTATGACCGTTAATGGCAGCAGAAGATGGATGATGTTAGATTACGAAGCACGTTCGCTGTACAGTTTGATCGCAGACGGACAATACCGAAGCACAACAGCAGGACGACCTGCATGGAAGTCTCTGATCGCGGGTTCGTCTTTACAACGAAACTGCAATGAAGAAGGTTTCAGCATTGCATATAATGCATTCAAAATACGTATTGGATATTACGCGAATAATGACAACCGTTGCACACATGCAAATTCATGTATTGGATTTGGTATTGTTTACAATTCTTGTTATATAACATCTAACATTACATGTGGTAATATTGCGCAGTGTAGTCAGAATGATAATGGCCCTAAACTGACTGCGGCATTTGGTTATATTTTAGTTCAGTAAGTGAATACAGGGGATATATAAAGTAGATTTAGAAATAGTACATATTTGTGATAATACGTAAAGCTACCTAAAATATAACTTGCTTGTATTGTACAGAGGCACACACGCCAACCAAACTAGTTGACTGCAAGACAGCATTTTATCAAAAGAACTTAATCATGCATGCTTAGACTTTATGGAATCTTTAAACTGTGATGTTTAAATATTAATAAACGAAAGACATAAAATTTGTGCGTCTTTATGTATTTTCAACATCTAGTGAAGGTCTTTGAATTTCATCGCCACCAACCCACCCTTTCAACTGTGTTCAATTTCTAGTTGGAATTATGATTATATTGTGAAACGGTGTCTCACAAAATATTTGTCCATTCCCTAACATATATGTGGCTCAATTACTTTTTAGTAAAGAAGAATAAAATTCATTTCCTACATACATGCTTCTATAATACATGCACCTGTATATGTACACGCATATTTCCATATTTCCAAATCTGTTAGTGTTACCATGATAGATGTGAATGCACCACCGTAACTTTGGTCAATATTTTTCATCAAAACTGCATGCAGATCAATGGCAAAGGTTAGCCATGACAGATGGTTTTTAATTTTGATTTTAATGATTTGCCCAAGTCAGTATTATTAGTTATACGTGTTATGTTGAGCTGCAGTACAGAAACCTTAAATGGGCTTTTAGGTGGTCATGTTATACGTGCTAATAGACGTCCACTTTGAGTGAGCAAACATTGGCAACGGTTTTAGTAAATAGAATGAAATAATTCAAGAATAGAATGAAACATGGCAAATAATTCAATATCATAACTAGAGAGCACTCGGAGACTACATACAGTACCACTGCCAGCGAATTAAGTTGTGTATCATGCATAATTATTTATACAATCAATTCAACGTCTAGAAGAAATATCGACGTTCTAATCCCAAAATGTCAGTGGTTGTTAATGGGCGTGCCTCTCCAGCAACTTGCACTACCCCACATGAAATCGACCCATTTTGGAAATTTTAGCTGAGGGCGTTAATTGAATAATCAAAAAACTGAACGATGAGGTTAATTTTTTTGATAATCCAAAACTTCAAAACATTCTTGTGACTAGAAAACGTTATTATCTCAAATAATCTTACACCATACATCGCATGCCATGTACAAGTGTAGACTTTCGCAAAGTCCTTCGTCTTTGTTTAAACAAACGAGGTCGACTTGTAGCAAGTTTAGTACAAGTAGTGCTATGTCTTTTTTTATATGCTACTTTTAATTCCTATGAATTTGGGCGTCTGGAATTTGGGGGCGCCCACACGTTTTCCGGAATGGAAATGACACTATAGAAATTGGCCTGGAAGCAGGATCATATAAATACTCAATAGAGTTTATATTACGAGCGGGATCTTGGCAATTGTCCCGCCAGGCGTGATCTGTTTATGAAGTAAAAAATGGGGGTAACGAACCTTATTTTCAAGTTAAATAACTTAAACCCCAAAATATCGGCCATATTGAAGCGTCATTTCTTTTTTTCGAGAAAATCCGACTCTGTGTTTTTTTATACCTTTCTAATCGGACTTTCTTTGTCTTTTAACATATAGGAATTGTTGAAAATTTGGGTCTAAATCGGAGATTTCCATTTTCTAGTAAACTATAGGGAGCTACCTTAAGAGAATAAAGTAAGGGAATAAAATGGCTAATAATTTGTAATTTGAAAACATGATAATTTGCTTCATCACTGCTGCTAATATGCAATTATTTTATTTTACTAAGCCGATCTGTAATGAAATAAAATTGAAAATGTCAATTCTGCTGTCAATTGTAGCCCTACTATTTTATATAATATTTTATCATATTTAAAACGTTCTTGCTCTTCAATGATTGAAAAAAATGAATCCTAAGATGATGCAAGATGCAGGGAATTACATGTGTACAAATTTTTGTCAATGAATTACACTGTGTCTTTGGCCACTGAAATTCATTTAATGCAGTGTATTCCTGCATGCTAATAAAGTTCTTTCAGTCAATAAAAAATTGTGACATACTTGGAGCTTCCAAAGTTATTAAATCACTTATAAATATTGTATATTATCAGTTGTTTTAATAAAGCGTTGTCATTGCGCACCAGCTATTGAACTGAACGCCTAGTCTATAAAAGTTATTTAGCAATTGCTTTGGGCAAAACATGTCTCTATTTAAAATATTAGCCATTGTTCAGTTTTTTGCTTTCATCGGGTACGGTGTTACTATGAAACATGCTACATTTAAAAAAAACACAGGACAATATTTACCAGATAGTGTGATCACAACGAAATATGCAGAAAGTGAAAGAGTGTGTTCCATGCATTGTACAAGTATCGACGCGTGCTTGTCAGTGAATTACAAAGCTAGCGGAGTGGATCAAGGTTTATGTCAACTCAACAATAGAACAACTTCAGAAAATCTTGGACTGGTTTCCGATGATGAATTTTTGCATCTTTCTATTGTAAAGAGGGTAAGGCATTTGTGATATATCACAAACGTATGAGTCCAGTGTAAGTGTTCTAGAATACGTTAACGAGATTTATGGGTAAATATCAAGATTTTGGGGCATCTAACTCTATCGAACTAATGTTGAAGGATTTTGGTGTTGGAAATATTGACTGTGAATTTTAGGTCAATGAACTTAAAAACGAGAAAACATTGTTTTGCAAACAATAATTCTCGAAGTATAGGCCTAGAGAAACAAGAAGCATTTTTTCCGCAATGAAAGTCACACGCGTCCACAATAACGTTTAGTATTTCTTCTTTAATTAAACACCAGTCAATGTTCATTGTAATATGTTTATAGAGTAAAGCTACGGCGAACGAAATTACCAGTAAACACAGCTGCAAAGAATTACTCGACGATGACAGGTAACCCTTATTGAAAATATAACACCAAATTGAAACAGATCAATGGAACTGAACTAACTTTGTTTATATTGCAACAGTTCTTCACTGCTTTCCTTAGATGTCCATGCTCGTTTCTTGTTGGCTTACTGTTACTATAAGATTCACCCAAAACTAAATTCAACCTAATATAAGAGGTAACCTATAAACTAAACTAACAAAATTTATAATGTTAGTTCGTCAGTTCCACTTCTTTCTCCAAAAGCTATCCGATCTTTATTGCCGCAGTCCTCCTACAGGAGAACACTTGCACGCTTTCATTTCGTCTGTCTGTTTCTATGTTTGCCTGTCGGCACGATAACTTACAAAATATCAAACGTATACTAATGCGAAAATTTGCTTAAATTTATATAGGCTATAAATTTCTTTAATGACCCAAGTTGTTCATTTTTTGCTACACTTTCTTGACAAAAACAATATTAAACACAATTTTTTTATTTTTGTGGGAGAGGGGTTCTGGGTTGTCTGTCAAGATCTTTGACCTAACTGTCAGAGATTAGGTTGATATAAACCATACCTTCCTCCTCATCTTACCATCGCACCTTGTCTCATTAATGGGACTAATGAACATTGCCCAAGGACAAACTGGTTAAATTTTGGTAACATTTGGATGAGAACTGGATGCAAAAGTAGCAAACGTTTCTCTTGCCTTTGTCTGGGCAGAGTAAACTGAATGTTTAATTATCCCACTGTATAATTTATGCATGATTAATAACTTAATTCGCTGACGGAGGTGATCAGTCTGCTGTGCCCTCTAGTTATGGGTCTTGCTCTAAATCTAAGACATCATTTTCCTTTACAATTACGGTGTAATAAAAGTATCATTATTTTATTCCAGGTCATTGCCAAACGATGCCTGTACTATACAGTTGAACATTTCCTCGTCTCCATATAAGGTATATTGTCACATGACAGATATTCCTTGGACACTAGTCTTGAAAGTAAATGGAAATATGGTAAGATAAAAATCAAGGGTGACTATATGTCAAGCTTTAATCAACCAAATAGTCAATCAATCAGTTCATCAATTAAGCAGTTAAACAATCAGAGAAAAGTTTCCTTTAATTTTCTAACTAAAACTATATCTTAGATATTCATGATCTACTTAAGCATCAACCAACAATCAATTTCTCTTTCTTAAATTATTGTGTTCTTTCTAATTTAGTCCACATTTGACTACAATTCATCTTTGTGGACGAACAAGGAAACGTTTGCCGTTGAAGATGGACTTGAAGGACTAACAGAGAAAGAAAGTAAACTGGTCTCTTATTGGAACACTCCTTTCAAGAAAATATGTCTTGGTATGACCGTTAATGGTGATAGAAGATGGATGATGTTAGATTACGAAGCAAGTTCCCTGTACAGTGTGATCGCAGATGGACAATACCGTAGCACATCCGCTGGAAAAAACACCTGGATGTCTGTGATAGCAGGCTCTTCCCTGCAGCCCAATTGCAACCATGAAGGTTTTAATATCAAATTCCCATTTACCAATGCTCGCCTTGGTTTTGTTGCCAACAACGAAGATGATTGTAAGACCTGTGACTCTTGGATAGGTTTTGGTATATACGCCTCTTTCTATCGTATAAGCGACTATCAGGCGTGCGGTAATCGTGCAGTATGGGAAGTAGATCGTGTTGTAAACATCCCAGCATTTGGGTATATATTGGTGCAATAAAACATTCACCCTTAATTTAACATGACATGAAAATGCAGCACAATGAGAACTGTCTGAAGGAAGTAAAAAAACCAAGTTAAAACGACAGCCCCAATGGTTAATATTATTTGCTTATTCTTCTTCTTCTTCGCATGTATATATAACTTAAATGTATGCTTGGATACAATTGTGATTTGTTCCATTGTGTGCTCACTTTTTCAGTATAGCAGTAATTAATTGCTATAGTATTGGAATTTGTTTTCAAAATCCTAGATCATGAAAATAGTGTGGATCATATTTGAAAGAGTACGCACTTCCAATTTCCATATGCGAACTGCCATTATTGTACTATGGATAAAGTATGGAAGGATAGGGAAGAAATACTATGGATTTAGTGATACAAGATGATTGTCGTACTGTACGGATTTTATTTCTTTTTCCTAGTATGTAATTCAGAATGAGAGTTGAGGAGAGTTGGCAGTCACGAATTGTTACAGGGGACATTTTAAACTCTAGGTAAACAAAATAGGTTTCATAAGTGTTCCAACTATGTTTAAACTTAATTAAAATAAATGATAGTGTTGGGAAAGCATTAAGAACAGCTAACCATGATCGTGTGACTGCCAACTCTCGTTCACTCTCATCCTCGTTGATCCAGGCTTTAGTAAGCTTTTATTTGTAATGCCCCTATGCGTGCACTATATATGAAAAATACTTAATTCATAATCAGATTATACATGTATATGTGTAGATTTGGAAATGTTTTACCACAATACATTGATTGACTGGTGGTTGAACTCAGGTGTATAATTTTTTTTCTCATGCTACTCCGAGTGTCTCCACACCGGGCAAGCTGAGAAATTGCTTGCCGGTGGTGGGAATCGAACCCGCAACCTTTGCATTGGTCTATCAACTGCATTCACCAGTACAGACGACATTTCAAAACTTAATGTAGTTCCTTCGATATCTGTATCAAGATTTAATGTCTGGAGAATACACAATAATTTTGGTAAACTGTTTTCATCAAAATTGCATGATGATAAATTGCAAAGCTAGCTAGCCGTGGCAGATGTTCATTTTATAAAAAATATACTACTAAACGTGCTTAGACTAAAATTGTATAAAAGCAAACATTTCGTAAGGTTTGATCGTTTTGGTGAATAAAATAAGCAGATAAAATGGCTAATAATTTATAATTTGATAACATAACAGTTTGCTTCATCACTAGCTGCTGGTATATCCAATTATTTTCTTTTACTGAGCCGGTCTGTAATGAAGGAAAATTGAAAATGCCAATTCTGCAGTCTATTATAGCCCTAATATTTTATATAATATTTTATCTAAATGCATGTTCTGGCTCTTCAATAAATGAAAAAAATGAATCATAAGATGATGCAAGATGCAGGGAATTATATGTCTATAAATTTTTGCCAACGAATTACACTGTGTTTTTGGCCACTGAAATTCATTTATTAATGCACTGTATTCTGCATGCTAATAAAGTTATCTCAGCCAATCAGAATTGTGACATACTGTATGTATACTTCCATGTAAATGATTAAAAAGCAATAATCACATAAAGTTATTAAATCACTTAACTATTGTCATTGCGCACCAGCTATTGAACTGAACGCCAATAGTCTATAAGAGGCATTTGGCAATTGCTTTGGGAAAATATGTTTCTATCTAAAACAATACTAGCCATTGTTCAGTTTTTCGCTTTCATCGGATATGGTGTTACTATGAAACATGCCATATTTAAAAGAAACACTGGAAAGTATTTACAAGATAGTGTGATCACAACGAAATATGCAGAAAATGAATTTGTGTGTTCCATGCATTGTACAAGCATCGACGCGTGCGTGTCAGTGAATTACAAAGCTGGCGGAGTGGATCAAGGTTTATGTCAACTTAACAACAGTACAACTTCGGAAAATCTTGGATTGGTTTCCGATGATAGATTTGTGCATCTTTCTATTATTGTAAAGAGAGTAAGGCATTTGTGACGATATCACAAACGTATGAGTCCAGTGTAAGTAGTATATGTAATATTCTAGAATACGCTAAGTACTATTTAAAACACGAGTAGGAGTGTTTTATCAGATATAAAACGCGAGGCGCAGCCGAGCGTTTTATGTCTGATAAAACATGACAACGAGTGTTTTGAATAGCTTAAAATACCACTACAAAAGAATACTAATTAGGATGAACCATTATATAATCATATTAATTAGGATGAACAATTATATAATGCCATCTGCTTTATCAGATATAAAGTCACTCCACGTGACATATCATGGCTGACATGATTTGCCACAAGGTTTACGAATTTTTAATGAGTATTTTTACGTAGTTTATGGGTAAATTTAAATATGAAGACTTTTGGGCATCTAACTCCATTGAACTAATGTTGAAGGATTATGGACTAGTTGGAAATTTCGACTGTGAATTTTAGGTCAATAAACTTAAAAACGAGAAAACATTGTTTTGCAAACAATACTTCTCGAAAGTATAGGCCTAGCTAGGAAACAAGAAGCATTTTTCCGCAATGAAAGTCACACGTCCACAACAATGTTTAGTATTTCTACTTTAATTAGCCTATCTCACGCCGCCATTTTTGGGGTACTGTAATTTTTCTTAAACGATTATAGCAATGTGAAAAGCAATATTTCAGAACAAACTAACTATTTACAAAGTAAATTTATCATCATACAGCCATAACATACAAAATGTCGCCGTTACGCGGTGTTATATATGCTTGCAGGATTGGCAAAAAAGTACCCCAAAAATGGCGGCGTGAGAAAGGCTAATTAAACACCAGTCACTGTTCATTGTATTATGCTTATAGAGTAAAGCTACAGCGAACGAAATTGCCAGTAAACACAGCTGCAAAAAATTACTCGACGATGACAGGTATCCGTTTTTGAAAATATCACACCATGATGTTTTTATGTTATTCTGAGTATATATCCGCAACGGGCAGGCTGAAAAGTTAGCCTGAGCACGGGTTCGATTCCCATCGTGGTCAGGCTAACATTTCAGCCTGCCCGGTGCGGATATACACTCAGAGTAACATCAAAACACACATGCACAAAAAATATATAAACCATATTGAAACAGGTCAATGTAAATAAACTAACTTTTTTATATTGGAACAGTTCTTCACTGCTTTCCTTAGATGTCCATGTTCGTTTCTTGTTGGCTTATTATTACTATAAGATTCACCCTAACCTAAATTCAACCTAATATAAGAGGCAACCTAAACTAAACTAACTAAATTTTTAATGTTAGTTCGTCAGTTCCACTTCTTTCTCCAAAAGCTATCCGATCTTCATTGCCGCAGTCCTCCTACAGGAGAACACTTTCACGCCTTCATTTCCTTTGTTTTTTGCTTATTATCTAATAGTTTAGGAATATTATTACCTCTGCCAGGTTATAACATCAGCGTTTGTATGTTTGTCTATCAGCACGATAACGTACAAATATCAAACGTATTATTGCGAAAATTTGCAGGACTAATGGATATTGCCCAAGCAAAAACTTGTTCAATTTTGGTAACATTTGGATGAGAACTGGATGCTAAACTATTAGCAAAGTTTCTCTTGCCTTTGTCTGAACCTCCAAGTAAACTGAATGTTTAATTAGCCCATTGTATAATTTATGCATGATTCATAACTTAAATCGCTGAACGGAGGTGACCAGTCTGCTGTGCCCTCTAGTTATAGGTCTTGCTCATAGATATCTTATATAGACTAGATAGCGCATCTCTTTTAGTAAAATTGAAGCCAAGAATATTCCAGCGGTTACCCCCATTTGAATAGATGGCAGCCATGTTGGAGTTTCCCACTCGCTAATAAACGCTTAAAAACAACAATAACTTTCATCATTTGAATAGTTTGAAAATGTACCTGGAATAGGTTTAACTTAATGTTTAAGTTCCCTGTTTAAGAAATAGAAAACATACGAGTCTTCTCATGTCATGGGAATATCCTGAGTCTGCAATCACGGCTTCAATTTTTGAATTGCAGAATAATTAGATGCACTATCTAGTGTATATAAGATATCTATGGTCTTGCTCTAAATCCAAGACATCATTTTCCTTTACATTTAAGTTGTGATAAAAGTATCATTATTTTATTCCAGGTCATTGCCAAACGATGCCTATACTATACAGTTGAACATTTCCTCGTCTCCATATAAGGTATATTGTCACATGACAGATATTCCTGGATGTGGAGGCGGAGGTTGGACACTAGTCTTGAAAGTAAATGGAAATATGGTAAGATAGAAATCAAGGGTTACTGTATGTCAAACTTTAATCAACCAAATAGCCAATCAATCAGTTCATCAATTAAGCAGTTAAACAATCAGAGAAAATTTTCCTTTAATTTTCTAACTAAAACTATATCTTAGATATTCATGATCTACTTATAAGCATCAACCAACAGTCAATTAATTTCTCTTTTAAAATTATTGTGTTCTTTCTAATTTAGTCCACATTTGACTACAATTCATCTTTGTGGACGAACAAGGAAAGTTATGCATTTGAAGATGGGCTTAAGGGACTAACAGAGAAAGAAAGTAAACTGGTCTCTTATTGGAACACTCCTTTCAAGAAAATATGTCTTGGTATGAGCGTCAATGGTAGCAGAAGATGGATGATGTTAGATTACGAAGCAAGTTCGCTGTACAGTGTGATCGCAGATGGACAATACCGAAACACAACCGCTGGAAAAGACACCTGGATGTCTGTGATTGCAGGCTCTTCCCTGCAGCCCAATTGCAACCATGAAGGTTTTAATATCCAATTCCCAAATACCAATGCTCGCCTTGGGTTTGTTGCCAACAACCAAAACGATTGTGAGAGCTGTAACTCTTGGATAGGTTTTGGTATATGCGCCTCTTCTTGCACTGGTATAATCTATCAGGCGTGCGGTAATCGTGCAGCATGTGGAGTAGATCGTATTGTAGACATCCCAGCATTTGGGTATACAGGGTGTATCAAAATAAACGCAATTCATCTTTTGTGCTTAATAACTTTCGAAATACTATTTCTAGTTAAACGCTTTTAGGCTTACTTCAAAGCCTGTTCCTTTCTCTTTCAAATAAACTATTATCCTTGTCTCCAATGCTAGTATTAATTGCACAGGAAAAGATTTAGTAAAACCTATCATTTTTAGTTGCTGTTTAATTATGCACAGTGGCGGCGCCAGGGGGGGGAAGGGGGGGCAAATGCCTCCCCCAAATTATTTTTTGCCCCCCCTCCAAAAAAATTATTAGTTACTAAGAGCGACTAAAGGCTACACAAGCATTCTGTCGTTATCGGAAAATGTATGGCTCATAAGTTGTCATTACTCATTAGTGAATGCGCGTATACATGGAACTGTTTTTTACAGTTTCAATCTTAGTTTGTAAATCTCTGAATGGTAAAACTTGCCAATACTCCAATAATACGTTTCAAAAAAAGACAAAAAAGCTTTGGTTTTGCAGAGTTACAGTGTAAATTCTCAAACGTGTAAGGCAATAATAAGATGAAAGTATCACGAAATTATTTGAATAAACCACATCGCATACATGGGGGACGAATGTCCTAAAGAGGGGCGATATTCCTAGGGTATTCGCCCCACCCCCCTGGGAGGCGATATTCCTAGGATATTTGCCCCCGGGGGCGATATTCCTAGGAATACCGCCACGTTTTGAGGGGGGGGGGGGAATTTCCTGGGGGGCGACCTTTTTAAAAATTCTATCTTGCCCCCCAAAATTTGAGTTTGCCCCTCAAATGCCCCCCCAAATTTGGAAGCCTGGCGCCGCCACTGATTATGCAAGTTTACTATGTTATTGTTTAGTCGGTTTAAATGTTAGAATTTTCTTCTTTAAACTTTAATGTTGTCGTCACTACATCTGGAAAACCACGTAAGAACAAATTAAAAGTATTTTAAAAGAGACCAGGTTGTTTGAAAATCCTAAACGAATGCCAAAAATCGTCAAAATATTCTGGTGTCTGAGCCAGAGTGTCATCGAATTGCGATGTAATGTAAACAGAAATTATAGCAAGTTGATGTCAGTCAGCTTAGATGGTCCAAGCCAAAATTATATCGCATTCGAAGTTTCAAACTGAGTTAAAAATAGTGGAAGAAAAGCCGTAATTATACTTATTGTTACAATCCATTTAATAAAATGCAACATTTGTTTGTTTTAATGAAAAAATCAGTTATTTTCATGAGAACGATTTGTTATTCCATCTCAATTTTATTAATCTCCAATCGCAATAACGTAAAGTATTATTACCCGCGAACCAATGAGTCAAATTTAAGAAACAACCCACTGTTAGAAAGCTGAATGGCTACGCTTTAAAATGAATGTAAACTTTAACGTTTTCGTCTATTATTTGTTTAGCAATTTACATTTCAGTCGAGGATTGCGCTTTTTTTGATACACCCTGTATATTGGTGCAATAAAACATTCATCCCATAATGTAGCATGCTTAATTTAGCAAGTTATAAATGCTTGGATTTACAATTGTGATTTGTGCCATTATGTGTCGACTTTGTCAGTGTAGCTGTAATTGCTATATAATATTGGAATTTGTTTCCAAAATCCTAGTTCATGAAAATTAGTTTGGATCCTATTTGAAATAGTACGGACTTCCAATTTCCATATGGGAACTGCCATTATTGTACTATGGATAAAGTATATGGAGGAATAGAGAAAAAAAACTATGCATCATGGATTTAGTGATACAAGATGATTGTCGTATTGTATGGATTTTACTACTTTTTCCCAGTATATATAATTCAGAATGAGAGTTGGCAGTCATGCACGAATTGTTATACAGGGGACATTTTAAACTCTAGGTAAACATGATAAAGGTGTCATAAGTGTTCCAACTATAGGTTTAAACTTAAAGGAAATACATGATAGTGTTGGGAAAAGCATTAAGAACAGCTAACGATAATCGCGTGACTGCCAACTCTCATCCTCGTTTGTTCCGTACTTTAGTATGCCATGTATTTGTAATGTTCCTATGTATGCACTATACATGAAAAATACTTAATTCATAATTAGATTACACACAGGGACGCCGGAACGATTTTAAGGCAAGGGGGGGGGCAGATTTTCGTGAAAGGGCACTTTTGAATTGATATATACTAAGAAATGTTTGCGAAACATCGGGAGTTGAACTTCACCTAATTATGTTTTCTATTGATTGGATGATATGGGTGTGGGGGGTTCTCCGCCAGGCGACTGTGCTATTCTTGAAGCTCGATGACTGCATTTCTTGCATTTTCTGAAGCAACTTTGTAAAAGAATTGCACTAACATTTCTGACAATTCGCTATTTCGCCAAGGCAATACTTTAAATGGAAAGGGCACCTTTGCCCCCCTTGCCCCTCCTGGTAAAGGGCAAAGGGGGCGGCTGCCACTCCTGCCCCAGTTCCGGCGTCCCTGATTACACACATGTATATGTGTAGACTTGGAAATGTTTTACCACAATACATTGATTGACTGGTGGTTGTGTGTTGAACTCAGGTATGTAGTTTTTTTCTAATGCTACTCCGAGTGTCGCTGCATGGAAGAAGCTGGCAAGCTGAGAAATTGATTCACCGCGGTAGGAATCAAACCCGCGACCTTTGCCTTGTTATAGTCCAACGCTCTATACCAACTGCATGAGCTACGAGGTCAAGTCAATTCGAGTATAGATGATATTTCAGAACTTAATGTATAGTTATCTAATATTTCAAATCCAACTATGAGGACTGGACTAGATTTCAAGTCCGCGCAGTCTGCCAGTATTATCATGTGAGCAAAATAAAGCAATATGGCTGGCTAATAGACAACTTGCATGTTAGACTAATTTTTGATTTAGGCAAAAAAAAGTAAATTCCCATAAAGAACTTATTAAAATCAGTAAAATTGCAAAATTTGGTTGCGAAACGTTGTAAAATGCAGAAAATATAGCCTTCCGAAATTTGCATATTTTCAGTATATTTGTATTACGTGCGAAAATTGTTACCATTTTTCAGCCGAAAATGGTAACAATTTCCGCACGTTATACAAATATACTGAAAATATGCAAACTTCGCAAAGCTATATTTTCTGCATTTTACAACATTTTGTAACCAAATTTTGCAATTTTACTAATTTCATTATGTTCTTTTTAACTGTTGTGTTTTATTTCCTTCTCTTTACTTAGATTAAAAAATTTAGTCTAACATGCAAGTTGTCCATTTACACATGAATTATTAATGAGTTTGAGATTATGATTAAACGTCTGGAGAATATATCAAAATTGCATGATGTTAAATGACAAAGTTAGCAATCATGGCAGATGTTCATGTTATATACTAATAAACAAACGTGCACTGTAAGATCGTACGTATAAGGCAAACATTTCATAAGATTTGGGCGTTTTAATAAATATAAAGCACATAATATAACATGCCCCATCACCGCTGATAATATCCAACTATTTTTCTTTTATATTAAGCCTGTCTATAATGAAAGAAATTGAAATATCAATTCTGCTGTTTATTAAACATGCCGCACAAAAACGCTTTTGGCTGACCTAATCGCCAAAATTTATGTTTGTGACAGACATGAATATAAAGATGAGCTAACAGGCACGCGTGACGATTAGCTCAGCCAAATGCTCTCGTGTGCGGCAGGATTTAGCCCTAATATTTTATATAATATTTCATCTATAAATGTTCTAGGTCTTCAATAAATGAAAAAATAATCATAAGATCACGCAAGATGCAAGCAATAATTATATCTCTAACAATTATTTGTTTTTGCCAACAAATCACACTGTGTTCTTAATTGGCCACTCAAATTCATTTGTTGCATGCACTGTATTGCAGCATGCAAATAAAGTTCTGTCAGCCAATCAGAATTGTGATATAATTCCAAGTAAAGTATTACAAAGCAAAAATCAGATAAAGTTATTACGTCTCTCTATACCTGTATTGTATATATCATCAGTTGTTTTAATAAAGCGTTGTCATTGCACAAAACCTATATTGAACCTATTGAACTGACCGCCTAGTCTTTAGAGTCATTTTGCAATTGATTTGGGCAAAGAGTCATTTTGAGTCATATAAAGAGTCATCTTGGAATTGATTTGGGAAAACATGTCTCTATTTAAAACGATACTGGTGCACGTCCAGTTTTTTGCTTTCATCGGGTACGGTGTTACTATGAAACATGCTATATTTAAAAGAAACACTGGACAATATTTACGAGATAGTGTGATCACAACGAAATATGCAGAAAGTGAAAGAGTGTGTTCTATGCATTGTACAAGCATCGACGCGTGCTTGTCAGTGAATTACAAAGCTGGCGGAGTGGATCAAGGTTTATGTCAACTAAACAACAGAACAACTTCAGAAAATCTTGGACTCATGGTTTCCGATGATAAATTTGTCCATCTTTTTATTGTAAAGAAGAGGGTAAGGCATTGCCGGATATCACATGCAAACGCATGGGTCCAGTGTATAAGTATACAGGGTGTATAAAAAAAAGCGCAATCCTCGACTGAAATGTAAATTGCTAAACAAATAATAGACGAAAACGTTAAAGTTTACATTCATTTTAAAGCGTAGCCATTCAGCTTTCTAACAGTGGGTTGTTTCTTAAATTTGACTCATTGGTTCGCGGGTAATAATACTTTACGTTATTGCGATTGGAGATTAAAAAAATTGAGATGGAATAACAAATCGTTCTCATGAAAATAACTGATTTTTTCATTAAAACAAAAAAATGTTGCATTTTATTAAATGGATTGTAACAATAAGTATAATTACGGCTTTTCTTCCACTATTTTTAACTCAGTTTGAAACTTCAAATGCGATATAATTTTGGCTTGGACCATCTAAGCTGACTGACATCAACTTGCTATAATTTCTGTTTACATTACATCGCAATTCGATGACACTCTGGCTCAGACACCAGAATGTTTTGACGATTTTTAGCATTCGTTTAGGATTTTCAAACAACCTGCATGGTCTCTTTTAAAATACTTTTAATTTGTTCTTACGTGGTTTTCCAGATGTAGTGACGACAACATTAAAGTTTAAAGAAGAAAATTCTAACATTTAAACCGACTAAACAATAACATAGTAAACTTGCATAATTAAACAGCAACTAAAAATGATAGGTTTTACTACATCTTTTCCTGTGCAATTATTACTAGCATTGGAGACAAGGATAATAGTTTGTTTGAAAGAGAAAAGAACATGCTTTCAAGTAAGCCTAAAAGCGTTTAACTAGAAATAGTATTTCGAAAGTTATTAAGCACAAAAGATGAATTGCGTTTATTTTGATACACCCTGTAGTATATATGTAATATTCTAGAATACGTTTATGGGTAAATATTTGGGCACCTCGATTGAATTAATGTCGTAAGAATTTCAACTGTGAATTTTAGGTCAACTAAACGTATAACCAGAAAACATTGTTTCCTCACCATGTTTCTCGAACGTATTGAAAAACAGGAAACATTTCTTCCGCAACCAAAATCACACCTCTACAGTAATGTTTAGTATTTTTACTTTGAACACCAGTCAACGTTCATGCATGCACCCTTTTCTGTTTAGAGTAAAGCTAAGACGAAAGAAATTGCCCGCAAACTCAGCTGCAAAGAACTTCTTGACGATGACAGGTAATCCATATATTGAAAATATAACATCATATTGAAACAGACCAATGACAATGGAAATAAACTAAACTTTGTGTTATACAGAAAAAGTTCTTATAAATGCTTTCCTTATAGATGCCCATGTTCATTTGTTGTTGGTTTGTTACTATATATACAGCTATTGCAATTAATGTTGTCCACGAGCAAAGCGGAAAAGTCGTAAACGAGAGCGAAAGGCAGCTGGGATCGCTATGAAAATTCATTAATTTGTTAGCGATTCCCAGCAGCCTTACGCGCTCGTATTTGACTTTTCCGCTTTGCTCGTGGACAACCTTAATGGACCTTTCCCCTTATAACTAAAATTTTGATCTAGACAAAAATTTCATCACAGCTTGAAAGAGCATCACAAAATTAGTATAATATTCCAAAGTTTCGTTGCGAAATGTTGTAAAATGCGGATAATATAGCCTTGCGAAGTTTGCCGTTTTTCAGTCATTTTGTATTACGCATGGGAAATTGACAGCCAAATTTCCCGTTTGTAATACAAAATGACTGAAAATTGCAAATTTCGCAGGGCTATATTATCCGCATTTTACAACATTTCGCAACGAAACTTTGGAATATCACTAATTTTGTGATGCTCTTTCAAGCTGTGATGAAATTTTTGTCTAGAGTTGTCTAGATCAAAATTTTAGTTATAAGGGGAAAGGTCCATTGAAATAGCTGTATACAAGAGGCATCTTAAACGAAATTCAACCTAACATAAGAGGCATATAACCTAAACTAAACAGTCAATTCCAAAATATACCTGCATGCAGTTTAAATTATAAAAGCCATCATTCATCGGTGCAGTCCTCCAGCAGGAGGACACCTGCACGCATTCGCTTGCTTTGCGTTTTTCCTTATTACAGTAAGTATAGGTAACTACACGGGAAGGAGTGTAATTAATGATTAACACTACGAGTGATTTTTGAAAAATGTGCTAAAATTGCACGAGCCGCTGACAAAATTGCTTTCTTGAAAATTCAACTGCATTTTGTCCAGAGTTTTGAATTCTTTTGTAAGAAATTTGGCATAAACAAAGTTGGAAAATGATCATAAACTCATAAAGGCACATAACGTAAACAATAGAACACATTATTCAAATTCAAACAACATATCAATCCCGTTCGCAGGTTAGGTGCTGGCACGAGTATTCCCGTTCGCAGGTTAGGTGCTGGCACGAGATTGACAACATATTAGCCCGCGTGCAGGCCCACCGAG